TGTGTGGTTGCCTTTCACGCACCCCCAACTGGGGGGTCTGGCCTGCAACCCAGGCATGTGCCCTAGACTGGGAATCAAACTGGCAACCCTTTGGTTCACAGGCTGGTGTTCAGTCCACTGAGCCACACCAGCCAGGGCCCCTTTATAATCCTTATTCCCCAAATTTTCCCATTATAACTCTATGCCAAAATAATGCACCACTTTGCTCTATGGAAAATTCAGAGCCAGGTACTCTTCTTTAAGATTTCCTGTGCAGCTGAAACAACTGTATTTCACCTGCACTTACAGGACAGACAGCATGGCTTTGTCAGTTTCACCAGAGAGGCTGAGCAACCTTAGTCACAGCTGAGGTTTCACTGGCAGTCTCTCTAGTAATTAGAAAACAAAACAAATGTTCTCAAGAATTCATGGATAAAATTCAGAGAAAATCTTTCTGGAAAACGTTTTCTGGGATGTAATTAAGTTACTTAACAGTTTGCTCCTTTCAAGACTTGCTGAGAAGCTGCATGAGGTGGAACATCTAATCTAGGGGAAAATTTGTCCCACGTCTCTTTTTTTTCCTTTTTATTGAATTTATGGGGGTGACATGGGTTAACAAAATTACACAGGTTTCCGGTGCACACTTCTACAACACACCATCTGTACCTGGTATTGCGTGCCCCGCTTCTGATGCAATCGTCTGTGGAGTACTCTGACCACGGACTCATGAATTGCTAGATTTTTCATCCCAGCTCATGAGAACATGAACTATTTCTGGCCCTGTGTCAGCTCCAAGGATTGTCTCTTCTGCTTTTTATGGGGTTGCGGGGAGTGAGGGCTTCGTTGTCTGTCCTTGGGTGGCTGCTTCACCCGCACAGGCCAGTCCTCGGAGGGAGCTTCTGCAGATCTCTGGGGTTCCCTGTGCCACCCTGTCCCCTCTGTTGCTCCGCCTGGCGAATTCCAGCCGCCTTGGCACCCTTCGCCCCAGCTCCATCTCCTCCCTCACAGTGATCACCAGGCTCTCCCTGGTTCTCCTTCCCAAAACTGCACCCCAAAATCTCTCGTCACATTATAAGCTGTGACAATCGTGGGGATCAGCCCATTTGTTTCCCTGCTCTAAGGCCCCAGTGTTCTGCCCTGCCTGGCAGCCTATGTCTAAAACCGCTGTTTCACTGATTTCCAGGGTTTTTTTAGTTGTTTCTGGCAGGATGGTAAATCCAGCCCCTGTAACTCCATCTTGGCTGGATACATAAGTCCCCCTTTCTTGGTTTCTTATCCGCTCCTTCTCTATTCTTCCATTATTTTTTAAAAATAATGTAATATAAGCAAATATATTTTCTATATTTGTTTCCTTGGTTTCTTAGACATGTTGTAGAATGCTGTTCATACCTTTCTCTGCCTGCTTTATTATCTCGATAGTAAACCCTGGAGGTGGTTACTTCACGGTAGCACATAGAGATACGCCTTTTTCCTTGTTACAGCTGAATATTACTCCGTTATGTGAAGGAACGATAGTTTATTCACCAGTATCTTATTGAAGGACCTTCTGACGGTGTCTAGTGGCTTTTGTCTGTTTAGTTGGTACTTTGTTTTGTTTTTACAAATAGCAATGCTACGAATGACACCGCTATTGTTAAATCTTCCCGAGAAAAGTGTGGGGACGCCTGTTTTGACGTAGTCCCGCTACCAGGGAGCGTTGTCGGATTTTGAATTTTTGACAGTCCGATATCAGGTGTGGTATCTCGTATTTTCATTTCATGGTAAAGAAAGAGTCGCATTCTATTTTTTTTTTTTTTATGAGAGTCGCAGCTTTTTTTTTCCCTAATCTAATTGCAGAAATGCTTTATATATTAAGATCATTAAAACTCTTTGTCTTGATATAAAATGCAAGTTTTTAAAAAAAATTTAGCCATTTGTGTTTTTACTTTGTTTATAAGTGGGTTTAAATTGTTTTTTTTATTGTTGTTCCATTTCATTTGTCCCCATTGCTCTCCCTGGCCCTGCCTACCCCCCCGCCCCACACACACACATATTCCATCCTTCCCTTCCCATTGTCCTTGTCTACAGGTCCTTTATATACATGTTCTTTGACTTGAATAGCAGATTTTTTACTATGTATGCTTTTTATTATAAGTGATTATCTTTTCACCTTCCAAATATGATTGCAAATTGTGCTGCAATTGAAAAACGGAATTGAAAAAATGTTAAATTATGAGTCTTCTTTAATGATGAGGTCTCTTATACCTCTGCTGCCCATTCTGTAAGTGGTCCTGGTTGACTCTCTTTGAAGTGGTTGACAATACATTCATTACCACCCTCCCTGTCACCGACCTAGACAGGCATTCATCCCTCACCCCCTCCTTCAACCACACCTAACTTCCTGCCCCCTGCTGTCACTCCCCCGCTCCAGCCAAGTAATATTGACAAACCCTAGGCATTTGCTCACACCTTTCTCCCAACTTTGTGATGATATGATATCTACTCTCTCTGTATAAATTCCAGAATACCCTTGAATTCCCCCATTCAATCAGTGGTGTGTTATTTTTCCTTTACTCTCCTACAAACCATCCATCCATCAGGATGGTCATCCTAATGACCATCCAGACAAGTCATTCGTTCCATCAGAAGCCAAAATATAGCCCACTTATTACGCCCTGTCTGGATGCCCTTTCTCCTCTGCTTACCTATCTAGATTATCGAAAGTAGGAAAATGGGGAGTAAATGCCTCGTCTTTTCAATAAATTCCACATTCACTCAGGGCAGTTGCTAGGCACCATATTTATAAATATGAGTAAGACAGTCTCTGACTTCACGGGGTATATAGAAGGGTTAAAAAAAGAGATATAAACCAATTCATGATACAGTGTGATATCCTAGACTATAGGCATATCGTGGAGCAAAAAGAAGGCAAGAATTCATTTTGAATGTGGTAGATGTCAAAACAGACATTAGTTACAGGTAAGCTGGTATCTAGATGGGGCATTTACGTATGAGCGACAGTCTGCTGAGGTGACCGGGGAAAGCATATTTACGCAATGAAACAGCATGAGAAATAACATGGGGTTGCCATTCTTCATATCTTTTAGGAGAGAAGGAGATAATCCCATTTCCTAAAGACCTGTGTAATTTAAACCTATCTGAGCTTCTGTTACCTCATGTCTAAGGAATTGAGAAAAACTGTTTCTACCTCATAGAGTCCTGGTGAAGTATAAACAAAATAACAATTATAGAAAAAAAATTCCTGACATGCAGTAGGCGCCCCAAAATAGTAACTATTAGCAGTATCTCATCAATGTGTAGACTTAAATACATAATTGTTATTTTGTTTACTAATTACACAATGTTCTAAATCAGTGATTTTCAACCAGTGTGCTCCCCAAAAATTTAAAACATGCAACATCTGACTATTTAGTCAGAGGCACTGACCTCTTTTCCCTGAGATTGTCAAATACACAAATGACAACAGCCAACACAACAAGAGCCCTCCAGTGTGAATGAATCAAAATTATACATATTTTATTTTGTTAGATGTGCAAAACATATATTTTGTTGGTGTGCTACCGAATTTTAATAATTAGTTTATGTGCATCATGAGATGAAAAGGTTGAAAACGGCCGCCCTCAGTAGGTGCCCGCGTGTGGGTCTTGTTTGTCTTGTTTAAGGGCCTGGGGGACAGAGATTCAAGCTTAACCGCTTCTGTCCCAAACACTCCTTGAAGAGAATATAAGAAAACATATTTCAATAACACCTCAGTCACACACATTCCATTTGGTACGCTCGCCTACCAAAAGAAGGTCAAAAAACTCTCCACTGTAATACCCCAATCTCTGCAGACACGTCAATAATAACTTAGGAATTTTAAACAGGACCCATCAAGTCAATGTGTTTTTGCTGTTTAAAAGTAGCGATTCACAGTGGCTGTACCAGCCCACGTCCCCACCAGCAGTGAATGAGGGTTTCCCTTTCTCCACAGCTTCGCCCCCCCTTGCTATCATAGCGGATTGGATAAAGAAGATGCGGTACATATATATGGCGGAATACTACTCAGCCCTAACAAAGATGAAATACTGCTGTTTGTGACAACATGGATGGACCTGGACAATATTACACTGACTAAAATAAGTCAGAAAAAGCTGAGCCATATGATTTAACTCTCATGTGGGATATATAACTGAAACACAGACAGCAGTATGGTGGGTTCCAGAGGGAAGAGGGTAAGGGGATGGGGCAGGGGTAAAGAGAGCCAAATATTTGGTGATGGAGGATGATTTGACTTTGGGTGGTGGATACACAATGCAACACAGATCATGTATCATAGAAATGCACACCTGAAGCCTAATATGACCCCATCGGCCAATGTAAACCCAACAGATTTAATAAAAAATAAAAAAAGCAGTGAATCTCTGCATTGTAACTGCTTCACATTAAATAGGCTCAATAAGACAAAACAGATAGGGACTTCGTTAGGATCTTTTACACCTCCCTGCGAATCCAGGAAAACGAAGGGAGTCAGAGCGCCCCTCCTGCACGCAAGCAACTGCCTCCCCTCTGAGCGGGGCCTTCCGTCCTATTTTACCACAAGCATTGGATGGGACTTGCTCTTTGACAGCAGAGGAGATTTCATCACCATAAAATCCACTCTCAACATATTATTCTGGAGTTAAAGAGAAAAATGAAAACGAACACTTGTGAAATCCAAAGAAACAATGTCATTTAATGGGTCTACTTGACAAGACGCATCAAAGACATATAGGAGCTGATTCCCCATCCCAATTGGATGGCTCATAATACAACAGGAAGAGGAAAAAATGTCATTCCTATAAATAGGGATATTTACCAGACAAACACAATTATCTAATTTACTAAAACTAACTGACTGTCAATCAGGATAAACAACAACGAAGTCCGGCACATGGTCACAGCAGCGCTGAGCAGGATATAAAGGCAACAGAGGGCGAGGGGAGATCACACTCGACACCTCTCTCTCCTGGAAACCCACCCAGAACCTCCACCCCGACACCATGGTCAGCTCCTGTTGTGGCTCCCTCTGCTCTGGCCAGGGCTGCGGCCTGGAGACCTGCTGCTGCCCCAGCTGCTGTCAGACCACCTGCTGCAGGACCACCTGCTGCCGCCCCAGCTGCTGTGGCTCCAGCTGCTGTGGTTTCGGCTGCTGCCGCCCCTCCTCTGCATCTCTGCTGCTGCCGCCCCAGCTGCTGTGGCTCCCCTGTGGCTGTGCCGCCCTCCTGCTGCATCTCTAGCTGCTGCCGCCCCAGCTGCTGTGGCTCCAGCGGCTGTGGTTTCGGCTGCTGCCGCCCCTCCTGCTGCATCTCTAGCTGCTGCCGCCCCAGTTGTTGTGGCTCCAGCGGCTGTGGCTTCGGCTACTGCCCGCCCTGCTGCTGTCCTTCCTGCTGCCTCCGCCCAGCCTGTGGCCAGGTCTCCTGCCTCACCAACTGCTATCGCCCCACCTGCGTCATCTCCACCTGCCCCCGCCCCATGTGCTGTGCCATCCCTTGCTGCTGAACCTCTGCTTTGAACACACTGCTTCCTCCTTTCCTCCCCTCCCCATAGACACACACCCTCCTTTTCAAAAATGTGTCACTGATGTCTTGGGTCCCCTAGCAAACCCCAGTCCTACTGATTCTCTGTCCACATTCTAACTTCTGTCCAAACTCTCTTCCTTCAAAATGACTTCATTCAGATTCTCCTAATAAACTAAGTTCCTCCCACATCCCTTCAGGACATCCATTCTTTATGTTTCTGGAATTTGAAGAGTGTCCCCAGCACTTGTGGGACTATGGATTTTAACTCCTTCGACATCAAAATCCAATGAGGTCTTTTCCTTGTATTCTGTTGCAAAGATTTTCTTACAGCTTGTTATTTATATGCACCAAAATAAATCTCTTTGTACTAACACTGAAAATTGAATGTGATTTTTTTTTTTTAAGGTTTCCCTTGTGGGTCCTAGGTAATTGTATTTTCCTACACCTTTCAGACAGACAGCACCAATTAGTCAACCTCCAACAGAGGTCAAATGACGCTGCTCACCAGTTTTCTCTAGAAAGTCTTTTCAGTCTTAGCTAAATCAACTAATCATTTTCTAGACTTCAGGGGAAAAAATGTAACTGAAGTCATGTTGTATCCCTGAATATAATAAGGGGAAAGTTTTACGAAGACTCAACATAATTCATGACCTTTTAAAACTCTGACTTCCAGGAGTTTTTTCCACCAATAAAATTCAGATAATAAATAAGTACATAAATAAATTGGCTTTTCTCAAATGTAACTACAATCCCTTTGGACTATTTCTCCCTCTTTTCTCCATTAGTCAAAAGTTATATATTTTTAAAGGACCATTACATGCCCCTATGTCATAAAACAAAGCCTTCATATTCTCAACGAACATTTACCTCTAGCGTCCTCTATCATGGCCCTGATCTGAGCAGGATGGAATAAACAAAATGTCCCAGCTCCCATCGTCAGGGCCTCAGCATTGCAACTGGGGGAAGGGCAGAAGTAAATAGCGTGACACGACAGAGTGCACTAAATTGGGAGCACAATGCAGAGAAGAGCTACACGTGCACGCAGCCGTTTTTTAGTAACAATGTCATCGAGGAGGAAGCATTTCGGCTGGGTTTTGGGACAGATGAATAGGAGTGTGCAGAGCTGACAAGAAAGGAAACATTCTGGGAAGGTCAAATGGCTTCAGCAAAGGCTCGCAAGTTTTACCCTTCCCACATTCCTTGGCTGCTCTGTGATTAAGACAAGCTGTGCAGGCTGGTGTGGCTCAGTGGGTTGAGCACTGGCCTGCGAAGCAAAGGGTTGCCAGTTTGATTACCAGTCAGGGCACATGCCTGGGTCACAGGCCAGGTCCCCATGTAGGAGGCATGAGAGGCAACCACACATTGATGTTTCTCCCTCCCTTCCCCTCACTCTAAAAATAAAATATTTTTTTTAAAAAAAGCTAACTTTCTGTTTAATCTTATGCAAGTTTTTTTCTTTTAACTTCTCTATAGTTTCTTTTGCTTATTCTACTAAAAGGGTAACAAGAATACACAGTACTTCATAGGGTTGCGTTAAAGATGAAAAACAAATATAAGATATTCAGCATAATGCCTGGAAATAATGAGTACTTCACAAATAATATATGTAAATATTTTTCCACCTTTCATGGAGGGTATATGGAACTTATTTACATATTGTGTGTTTTTATTTTAATTATTTAGTTAAAATTATTTCCATTCTTTTCATTGTTGCCAAACTCTGTTTCCCATACATGTCTTATTCAAGTGCCTATAGGAGAGAGATGGAGGGTTATTTGTTATGGCCCCGTAGTACCCAAGAGAATGTCCTGTGTGTTTCATGCTGTTTAATCAACCCCAGCTCCTGGTGTCCCCGTGAATGAGCGCTGTCCAAACGGCCACTTCTCTGCTCCTGCAGACTCACATCTATGGCTTCATTTTTGGAGTGAATCCATCTCACATTTGGGTCTTCCTCTTTTCCTGATGCCTTCTATTTCCCCAGCATTATTGTCTTTTCCAAAGAACCTTGATGTCTCATGATGTGCCTCCAGTAAGATAGCTTCAGTTTTGTATTGACGGCCTAATAATCTTAAATATTGCTTATACATAACAAATGTTTCTGTCATGAAATAACCATTTTGCAGGTTATCAATCAAAAGATAAATTAAAAATTTCCCACTATGGCCCTCGCTGGTGTGGCTCAGTGGATTGAGTGCCAGCCAGTGAGCCAAAAGGTTAATGGTTTGATTCCCAGTCAGGGCACATGCCCGGGCTGCAGGCCAGGTCTCCAGTTGAGGGTGTGCAAGAGGTAATCAATCTATGTGTCTCTCACACATCGATGTTTCTCTCCCCTTCTTTCTCCCTCCCTTCCCCTCTATCTAAGAATAAATAATAATGTAAAAAATCTTTACAAAGAAAATTCCCACTGTAAATGCCTATCCTGAAAGACACACAGCAAAAATGGTTTTCACTATTTAAAAGGAGTGAGTCATGGCTAAGTACCTCAGCTGGAGACAGTGAAATAAGATCTGACACAGAGTTTGAAACACCCAACTATCTCCCTGACCATTCAAAGTGTCCACAGGATCTGTCAGTCATCCTCGGTATCGATGGCACGGCCTCCTTCCCAAAAGGTCATTCTAATTTTTTCCTCGCATTTCCTCTGACCAGCACATGACCTCCTCCTCTTTGACTACAAAAGATACATAAGCCTTGGGAGGACCATGATTTTCACATAGCAGCGCACAGATAGGAGGAACTATCACACTCAAAAACGAAACGTCAGAGTCATGTGACGAGTGTCTTGTAAAAGACACTGCATCTGCCAGAAACACAGGTAACGCCCACTAAGAAAGAAACGTGACACTTCTTTCCATGGGAACCACAGGAACTCACCAGAAAAAGGAAATGTGTTATTTTCTCCATTTCGGAGTACTTAACTAGACACACACAATTATGTAATTAAATAATTACGTTTTCTAGTATGGTAAATAATAACAAGGAAATAATGACACAGCAACAGCTCTTCAGCAGGGTATAAAGGGAGGAGTGGGCCAAGGAGGCTCTCAAACTCAAGAACCTCACTCTCCTGGAAACCCACCCAGAACCTTCACCCTCTGAAACCATGGTCGGCTCCTGTTGTGGCTCCCTCTGCTCTGGCCAGGGCTGCGGCCTAGGCTGCTGCAGCCCCACCTGCTGCCAGACTACCTGCTGCAGGACCACCTGCTGCCGCCCCTCCTGCTGCATCTCTAGCTGCTGCCGCCCCAGCTGCTGTGGCTCCAGCTGCTGTGGTTTCGGCTGCTGCCGCCCTCCTCTCATCTCTACCTGCCGCCCCCCCCTCTATCTCTACCTGCCCCCCTCCTCTCACTCAGCTGCTGCCGCCCCAGCTGCTGTGGCTCCAGCGGCTGTGGCTTCGGCTACTGCCCGCCCTGCTGCTGTCCCTCCTGCTGCCTCCGCCCAGCCTGTGGCCAGGTCTCCTGCCTCACCAACTGCTATCGCCCCACCTGCGTCATCTCTACCTGCCCCCGCCCCATGTGCTGTGCCATCCCTTGCTGCTGAGTCCCCTTCTTTGTAACCCATTTGCATCTGTCCTCACAAATGTAGACACTTCCTGTGATGACCCTTAGGACACATGGAACCTGGCTGACATCATTCAGAGGGCTGGGATCCATGATACCAAAAGCTCACTGTCCCACTAACTCTTAGACACATTCTGGTTCATTGTAAACTCTCTTCCTTGCTATCTTTTCCTTTGGATATTGACGAACTCTGTATTAATTTGCATCCCACCTGCTAAGAGATTGTCCTAGTTCTCTAAATCTCATTCTCCTTTGTCGCTTGGGGCTCCAGATCATCCTTCTAACAAGATGGAAATTATCTGCAGCCCTCGAATGACACTAATTTGACACCCTCAGATCTGCAGTCCAACCTCCTAGAATGAATTTATGTTTTGTTGTTTCTCTGCCCTCAAATAAACTTTTCTACGCATAAGAATTCATCGGCATCACTCCCTATTGTTTTTATGATCATTTTACTCAGTAATGAGGCAGATATGGAAAGAATAGCCCATGTTGAAATCACTTTGAAAATAAGTGCTATATCAAATATAGATAATTTAGGATATTAGATCCAGATATGGAAAGAATAGCCCATGTTGAAATCACTTTGAAAATAAGTGCTATATCAAATATAGATAATTTAGGATATTAGATCAAAACTGTCATGTATGTGCACATGTATGTACTCAATATCTTAAATTAGGACAGATTTAATTCATGCCTTTAGCTCTTATTTAAGACACATTGTACCCCTTAATAACACTGGCCCTATTCTGCAGAAAAGGGTGAACCTAATTTTCTGAGTGCATGCCAGTGAAAGAAGGAAAATCTCCTGTAAAGAATTTAAACGTACTCAATTCCTTTCATTTAAAAAAACAAAAAACTTTTCAGAGTTCATAATCACAAAGTAGGTTAAACCGTATTTCTCATTGAGTTCTGCCAAAAAGAAATGCATATTCATTGTATTTTTTAAAAAACGCTTTACTGAGCTTTGATTGACATGCAAAAAGCTATACATATTTAATAAATACAATGCATTGAGTTATAGTTCATTGTATTTTCAAGGAAATATGCTTCACATGGACGGTGTGGTATGTTTCTGAGTATGGTCTCTTAGGATTTGCCTCATAATTCAAGCATCTCCTCAATTAATATTCCAATATATATTCACCCTGAGAGAATGGAATTTCTTTTTAAGGATTTTTTAATGGGAAGTAATTTGTAGTTTTGAGCAGTTCTTAGCTGGGGTTCACACAGACTTTGCAAACACAACAGTGTTGAAGCAAGAATTCTACATAGGAGACCGAAACCTACACAGTACACGAGCAATGTCAAGATTTGCAAACCCCTCACTTGGAATTTGAAATTCCAACAGTTATAGACAGTATCAGAAACTATTTTCCAAAATAATGTTCTGTAACTGTCTGTAAAAGTATTCAAACAAAACATTTTAAAGTGAAAGCAATGTCACGGCATCACACATTCTCAACCGTTTAAATACTTTCTCTGCTGGCCACTGCCACGAGACAAACCTAAGGAGAGGGAGTTCGTGTGAAGGGGCCCCCAGATCACGTCTCCACAAGGGTGACTGCTCACGTGAAGGAATAAACTGAATATATAAAGACTGTCTCGGTTGTTTACTGCTGCATAACAACCACCCCCTAACTTAACAGCTCAAAACAATAACGATTTGTAATTTCTCGCAATTCTGTGCACTGACCAGCATCCTTCTGATTCTTGCCTGGTCTCACTCGTGCTCCTGCATTTGTCTCAAAGTTCACCTGGGGCTGAAAGGCCCAAGGTGGCCTCATTTAATGCCTGGTAGTTGGGGCTGCTTGTCTCCTGGGTGCCTTGGTTCTTCTCTACGTGGCCTGTCATTCTCGGGGAGGCTCTACTGGACTTCTTTGCATAATTGTAGGAACGTTCTAAGGGGTAAAGGTAAAGCTTCAGGGATTCTTGAGGCTTAGATTGTAGCATTCACTCAACTCATCCACCATGTCCTATTGGTCAAAATAAGTCATAAAGCCAAATCAGATGCAAAGAGTAGAGAAATAGAATCTAAGTCTTAATAGGAAGAGCTACAAGACACTGCTGGCCAGTGTGGGGCTAAGGTAGAATGGGAAAGTTCTGTTAAGCCAGTATCAGTCTCTATATATAAGCAGTCAGAGGCAGACTTCATATTAGTTTAGTGTCTATGTTGCTGAAGTCCACCATTAATTTTTCCCAAAAGAAGATTTCACCTGTTTGTTAGTTATTCAAATTAGTGGTACTTACAGTAGGCAATGAAATATAATTTCTAATGAAATATTTGATTAAATCAATAGCCATTTTCATAAAATTGGTATTTTTTTTAAACACCTCATAAAACAAACTAATAGAGTCTGACAACATGAATTTCTTATAGAGATATTGGGCAGTCTTTATATAATCAGTGACACTTCTTGGTTGACCAGGACGAGAAGGGGGACAAGGAGTAAAAGTAACCCCATAAATGGAGACCCAGTGACCACAATCTAATTTGACTTTCTCGAAGTCTTTATCCAAACTTCACAGCAAAGATTATTAAAATAACTGACTCACTCCTCTGGTAGACTAGATCATTCTTTGTTAATATTTACTTTGTCCCCCTCCCACCCTCTGGAAGAAGCACCCTCTCCCACTCTTCCACCCTGTGGTTTGAACTTTACCATGTGACCTGCTTTGGCCAATGGGGTGTTAGAGGACACGACCCAAGCAGAAGCCTGGAATGTGCCGGCATGACAGCGATTGCTCCCCTGGGCTTGTGCTGTCAGTAGCAGTGAGCTGGAATTTCAGACAAACAGTGAATAAATGTGTATGTGAGTATGCCCCCATGCATACTCAAATGTACGAAACAATTATTTGTTGTTCATTTGAAGTCAAAATTTACCTGAGTTACCTGTATTTTTATTTGCTAAATCTGGCAACTCATATTCAGAAGAAAGCCCCAAACCAACCCATAACTGGAAGGCAAGCTCAATCTAAAACAGCCAAAACCCGATGACCGGCAGGCACATGACCATTGTTACTGTATATTATGAGAGTTTGTGGTTTCTTGTTATGCAGCAATAGCTGACTATTTCAACTGCAGTGGCAATGAGAAACTAGCTTAATACATCAATCAGTAGGAAAAGATTAAGCAGATAGTTTTCTCTAAAGAAAATAAAAATAAAGGAGTGGCCAAGTATTGGTGGCAGGGTTGGTTTTATTCTAATAAACTTTCTGAAGGACATAGGTGAATAAATCTCTAGGCTTATAGATATAATTAACCTTTAATAAATAATACAAAGTGAAGTCCTATCATGTTAAGTTGAAAGAGAACCCCATTCATTTTTGTAGGCATGTCTGCTAAAACACAGGCTTAAGGGTCAGACGCACTTATGTTGAATCCAGACTTGGTTATTTATGAGCTGTGTAACCCTGGGCAAATTAGCTAACCTCACAAACCTTCAGACTCTTAATCTACATAGTGGAGATTACAATACCTAACTCAATTGATTGTTATGATGGTTAATAAGATAGGTAAAGATACCTATCACAGTCCCTGGAACATACCAAATACTCCCTAAATTGTAACCTAAAGTTCTTACATAGTGGGAAGAAAAATGGAAGCTGATATACAACATCAGCAAACAAAACAGTGCAGTGTTATATACTGTTCTTAAAGGAAAATGGGTATAAGCTTCAAGTAATGGCCTAGTTAGAAAAGAAAAGAAAATTCCTTGTAAAACTGATATTAGTTCAAAGGACTGTTGAGGCTAAAAATGTACACAGAATATTGGTCATAAATAAAAAGGCTATTAGTAAAGAATTATTTAGTCTATAAAGTAAAAAAAAAATCAACTCATTATAAAAAAAGTGAAGAGAAAAATCTTGGCATGAGGAATATAGAGAGTGAATTTGGTATAATTCACATCTGTAATATCTCCCACAGCCTCACTGAAGCAAATCAGAACTAATTCCCCTATGACAACAACCAAAAGCTTCTCCCTTGAAGTGAAGGGGATAATTTTAGGACAAATGGCTATTGAAGAGCATTTGATTGGTGGTTTGCAAGCTCTTGACCTTCCTTTTTTCATTGTGTTCATAGAAAATAATTAAGATCGGCTGGACAGATTTCATTTTTTTTTTAAACTCAAATCCAAAGAAAACTGTTCTACTTCACTAGTAAGAAGTAAATGTATGGAACTCATCATAAAAGGTAAGATATAGGGTGAAGGTACAAATAAATAACAACAGGTGGAATTAGACAAGTGTATGCTTGTCACACAGTGCCCCAGTGAGTCCCCAAGGGAAGCAAGACCACCCTGTCAGACTGATACCCAGAAAAGAAGGAGCCCCCCCACCCCACACCCTTCGTCCAGCTCTGTTGATCCTCAGACAGGAACCTCCGTGCCCGAGCACAGGTCCGACCCAGCACAGAGTCCTGAGGCCCCTCCAGATGATTTGTCATGGGGTGAAACACAAGAGTCTGCTTACGAGGGATGAGCAGACCTGGACCCCAGACCTCACTGTGTGACCATGGTGAACACATGTGACCCTCCTATAAAATGAGGGAATAGGACTACATGTCCCCTATAGCAGCAACCCCCAATCTTTTCAGCACCCAGAACCAGTTTTGTGGAAGACAATTTTTCCATAGACTGGGAGGGGTGGGCGGGATAGTGTCGGGATAATTCAAGCGCATTACATTCAAGCTCACCTCCTGCCGCACGGCCCTGTTCCTAACCAGCCCACGGCCCGGTGGGGCGGGGCGGGGGGGGGACCCGTGCTCTACAGTCCCTTGATTTCACACATGTGATGACTAATTCCAAATGAATTACAAAGACAAAAACTGCAACAGATCTTTACAATCAAGGCAGGTGTTAGGTTTGGCTTGGAAGGATGAGGAGGGCATTCAGGTGAATGTGGAAACTCTGCAGTCAAGGCAGGCCGGCCCAGGCCCTGTTGGAGGCGCTAACCTGGGGTGGCAGGGATCCAGGG